AACACTCCTGATCTGGTAATACCTGGCTTAAAAGCAAATTGAGAATAGACAACAGTGTTGAGAGTAAATTATTGGAAGTTTTCGAACCTCTTTGGACAAATGGCTTGCTTGCGCATTTTTGGACGGACAGTCGACGAAAATATCGGACATTGGACGGACATACATTTTCTGAAACTGGCACCACTAGTCCGGTGCCCTAGGTAACAGCTTTCATATCCTCCACCCTTGACTTACGGTGAGGTCATGTGACCGGTCTGACCTCAGGTGACGTATATGAAAATCCGAGATATGGAAGCTGTGAGCCCTCGGTTGGGATACTACATCCTGTAGTTACATAAAAACTGCTACATTTGAGGACCATGAAGAGGTTCATTTATGAGGTCAGTGACCTGACTTGACCTAAAAATGCTGCTAGTGTTGCAAAGCGTGTTCTGGCGTGAAGTAGAGTTCAGCTGGGATGATTTCCATCGCTTCGTCGCCAACGCGTTCCGAGTGCCGAGCAGTCGCGTAGGTAAAACGGCCGTGTGTACTATCATCCTTTTTCTGTGTGCTTTTCTTAAATGTATTATTTTTCATTACATAAGCCTGATACAACGGCGCGACGACGCACAGACTTGAAGATACGTGACAGCAGTAGCTTACAAAAAAGCTACACTTTCCGTCTTTGTTTTGTTCGGTTATATCTATCCACACTGTTCAAATAATACAGTGCAAGCCACGGGAGCCAGCAATGTCACGAACGATGTGGCCGCCCCTGGTGAGGCCAGGTCTCCCTCTGGCGCCCCTGGTGAGCTCAGGGGGCAGGGGATACGGCGCGGCGCGGCCGGCACCCGCTCAGCGGCGCGTACCCGTACACCTGTCTGAGGAGCAGCGCCCTCAGCAGCGCGTAGCTGACGGCCAGCGCGTACAGGAGGGCGATCAGCGGGCCTCCGGGCGCGGCGCGGCCCGACAGCGCCACCACCAGCGCGGCCAGCAGCGGCAGCTGGGTGGCCGCCAGTGCCAACAGCAGGCGCGCGTGGCCGGCGCGCAGCCGGCGCGCCTCCTCGGCCGGCCGGCGCCGCAGCAGGGAGAGCCCGGCCAGCGGCACGGCCACACAGCAGAGCAGTGCCACCACCAGCGGCACGGGCCAGACGCGCGCCGGCCGGCCGCAGCCGCCGCCCGGCGCCGGCCCGGCCGCCGTGGACAGGTGCGCCCGGGTGGCGGGCGCCGTGCGCAGCTCCAGCTCCTGGTCAGTCTCCGCCGGCCCCTCTGTCGCCGGTGTCGTCTGCTCCAACACAGTGACGAACGGCGGTCGTGGCGTGGGCAGACTGGAGGCTGAGCTGGGAGGTCGGCTGGTGGTCCCGGAGGCTGCTGACGCTGGTTCTGGTGTCTGCGCCGGTGGTATTGCGGGCTGTTCAGTTGGTTCTCGATCTGCTGGAGAGCTGGCTCTTGTTGTCACTGATGGCTGGGTTTCGGTCGGCGCTGTGGAGGCTCCCGCTGTCACTGGCTGCTGGTCGACGGCCGATGCTGTGTTGGCCGGAGTCGGCGGCGATGTGCCTGTAGTCTCCGTCTCGGAGGGCGGCGGGCCCGCCGTCGGCCGTGGCTCTGTTGCTGGCTGATTGGACTCGACTGGCTCTGCTGTGGAAGTGGATACTGGCGACTGCTCTGTCCCGACATCGGCTGGCGGCGGGTTCTGATCGGATGGACCGGCCGTGCTGTCGGCTGGTGCGGTGACTGGTTGGGCTGTAACCACGTTCGACTGCTCCTCGGCTGTCTGTGTCCCACCTTGGTCACCAAACGGAGTCAGTGTCTGATCATCCATCTGTCCGGCTGTGGGACTCGGACTTGTTGCTCCCACCGTGTCACTTTCGGCTGTTTCCGCACCGCCCTGGCCGCCGGGCCGGTCCGAGCCGCCTCTGCCTCCCCCGATAGTGATCTCCCCCTCGTCTCTCCACTCTTCGCTCAGTCGCAGTGTCAGGGCGCGGCCGTCCGCGCTCGGCAGCAGTGTGACGGTGACGGCGAGCAGGCGGCGCCGGCGGCTGGCAGCCGTCAGTTGCCGCAGCCGCCGCAGCCAGCCGCCGACCGCAGCCGCGTCCTGCCGCTCCGAGGTCGACTCCAGTACGCCGGGGATCCGTAGAGTGACGCGCACCGGGCCGTCGGCGGCGACGCCGGTGTCGTCGGAAGGCGCCGGGTTGGTGTCGTCGAAGGGCGCCACGTCGGTACCGTCGAAGGGCGTACCGTCGGTACCGCCTCCGTCCGGATGTCTGCGGGGACGGTGTGTCCATCACCGGCGCCGGACTCGGCAGGCTGCTGTAGACGGTGGTCTCTGCGGGAGGAGTGATCGGGTGTGAGGGTTAGTGCATAGTGGATATTGTGCTAAGCACATGATGTCATTGTCATGTGTTCTGAGGATTGTTGATCATACGTCTCTTGCTCAAGCGTCAATATTAGTTATGTTGCAAGCATATTTTGTCCCAAATCAAGCTACTATTTCTTTGGAACCCATGGCCTGATTGAATTTCCATTTTATTTTATCAATTACATGGATTCAACATCGATGCCCCCTGGAATCCCAATTCTCTAGTTAGACTCACATCTCAGCACCTTTGCCCAGCTGTGAGGCTCCGCAACTGAAGCTACGAGAGAGGAGAATATCAATCCTCACCTGGCCGGAAGCCGGGCCCGCTGGCCTGGTATTCGGGTCGCTGTGGCCGGTCGGTATCGTCCTCTGTTGCTGTTGGCCGGTCGGCCAGACCGTCTGTCGCTGCCGGCTGCAGCTGCGGCCTGTCGTCTGCACCAGTCTGTGTCGGCGGACTGTCTCCCGGGCTCGGCCGCTGCGGTCGCCCTGGTGCGATCAGCGGCGGTCGTGCCGGCACCGGACCCGTCCCTCCCGGCCTGCTGGGGAACAGCGGTCCGCTGGGCCGCCAGCCAGTGTCTGGGAAATGCACGAACCCGCCAGCACTGCTCGGTGTCACCGGTCTGAACGCTGCCGCCGCCGGGGTCAGCGCAGACGGCGGCTGCTGGCCCCGGAACCGGCGCACGGCGTCCAGTACGAGCCGCAGCGACTGGCGCACCACGGCCTGGTTGGGCACCGTGCCCTGCTGACCGTGCAGCGCAGAGATGTTCCTGCCGTACTTGTACAGCAGGTGGATGAAGTAGACGTCCCGCAGCACCTCTGACGGGTCGAGTGGCGGGCTCTCCTCAGGCGGGGCGCGGGCTCGCAGCAGTCGGGCGCCGACAGCCGGGGCTGGCTCGCCGGCGGGCAGAAACCCCAGCCGAGACAGGGCGCCGCTCCGTGGATGGGACCACGTGCCTGCGAGAGAAAGGTTCAGCCAGACGCCGGCAGCTCCTGTCTGTGGGTGGAGTTGGAGTCCGTCTAGTGTCGCGTTACCGAAGGTCCCGTCGAACGCTCGGGACTGGGAGCCCCCGGTGCCGTCCGCGCCGGCCCGGCTCTGGTCGCTCTGCACGTCCGTCGGCCACCGGCTCATTCGGTCGTTGATGCGTGGAGGTCTCTTCTGGCGGATCAGCGCGGCTGCCCGCGGCTCAGACTCGCTGTTAGAGAGGATCTCCACAGCCAACTCTGGCTCACCTGCCTGATCACCGCCATTGGGTAGTGTAGGCTTAGAAACCGCCACAGGAGGCTGCCCTTCCGGTACATCTGGCTCAGGACCCTGTGTCCTCGCAGGGTTACGGAAATCTGCGGTGTTCCAGGTGCCACTCCAGATTCCTCTGATGCTCTCGTCGTCTCCTGCACTACCGCTGGGGTGCTGGTCACTCGAGGAGTGGCTGTTTCTTCAGCTGCCTCCAGTATCTCATCTGTTTGCTCCGTCGCTGGGATAACCTCTGCTGTGCCCGGAGACTGGGGCGTCGCTGTGACGCCGGGTGTCGGTGAGGTCGGCTGTGGGGCTCCAGCTGCCGGGGTTGGCGTTCCCGGCGGGTCGGCGGTGGGCGGAGGAGGGACGCTCGGTGGCACCTCCGTCCCCGCGGCCGGCGCCGTGCCCCAGTCGTCGGTCACGAACACTACACTGGTGGAGAGACCGGCAGCGATCACGACTGTCACCACCACGGTGGCCGCGGCGAGCCGGCGCGCCGCGCGCGCTCCGGCCGCCTCCTCGGCCGGCGGGTCGGCTGCCTTCTCGGGCCATCGGCGAGCAATGAGCACGGCTCCGAGCAGCGAGACGGCCGCCGCCGGGACGGGCAGCAGCGCAGCGCCGGCCACCAGCAGCGCGGCCGGCGGCGGGCCTGCTCCGCCGGCCACGGCCGCCACCACCAGGCCGGCGCCGGCCGACTCGAGCAGGCAGGAGGCGGCCGCCGGCGCCGCCAGCGCCGAGCGCCGCAGCCGCGCGGCCGTCCACAGGTTGAGCAGCAGGGCGGCGCCGGCGGCGGCCGCCGTCACCGCCGCCGAGGAGGTGTCCAGCGGCAGCGCCAGACACGCCATCGTCACTCCGCAGTCTGCTGTGACCGAGTGAGCGTCCCCCGCCGACCCGCCGCCGCCGACCGGCCGCCGGAGAGAGTATGCGGGCCGCCCGCATCGCTCCCCAGTGACGCCGCCGGGAACCCTGACCCAGTCACACCCGCGGGCGGCTAAAACGAGGCCATAGCTGCCCAGTTGGCGCAGAGTTCTGGGCCGTGGCCGGTGTGTGGGTGGAATTAGATGAGCTGACGATTGGACAACTTAAACTACAGAATTTCTTTTGCGTCTGGACTCACTCTGGAGGCAATGATTGGCGCCGCAGTGAAAAATGAACAGCAACTTATTTCTCCTGACCGCGTTTCTGGATCACTCGTCCCATTGCCTCTTTTTCACCTGGTTTTTACTCATCATCGTGATTGCTGTTAAACTGCTTTGACTTTATGACCAAAGACTGTAAATATTGCTATGTTTATGGCTATATATTGTGATGTTCTGCTGTGTTCACCAGAGTCTTCATTTCTTCAAGCATCCATGTTCTCCCGTCTCCCCCACGCAGTGTGTCCGTCCGTGCACCTCTGACCGGTCCACTCTCCGCTGCCCCATACAGGATGACTGGGAGGCTGAAGATGACGAGGATAAGCCAGCAGTTCCCGTTGTCGAGGCGCCCGTCAAAAAGAAGAAGTCACTCGCCGAACGGATAGCAGAGAAAGAGGTCAGTCATGCCGAAAGGTGCATCGTCTCCATGGTTTGTTGAGACATTAGAATAAGTGTCGTTTATTGTTGTTTGCTATATCTTGCTGTACTCTTCACTGACGGAAATTCACTGACGAAAAGCCGATGTGACCCTCTCTTTACATGAGGCTGGAGACGTGACCTCGTAGTGAACCCTTAAGCCATGTTTTCTTTCCACAGCCGTGTTCCGTGTCTGTTCAGTGACCTCGTGCCTGAACCGTGAGCCGTGTCCGTGCCGTGGGCGTGACCAGTGACCTGTGCCGTGCCCTGGCAGGCCAAACGGCGCGAGGAGCTGGAGCGGCGGCGTCAGGAGGAGGAGGAGGCTCAGAGGAACCTCTCGCCCGAGGAGCAGCTGGCGGCCAAGGCGCGCGCGCTCAAAATGCAGGAGGACGCCGACCTCGAGGTGGCCATGGAGACCTTCGGTAGGTGGCGCGCGCCGCGGCGGCGGGAGCCTGACACTCAAGTTCGTCTGGTGACCGCTAGTGGGCTAACGTCAAATGTATCGTGTGGTAATATCTGGAAAATTTAGCAGGTGGACCATTGCCGTTCCTTCAGCCGTATAGCTTTAATTTGAATTATTTGAATGGCAGCTGTACGTGGCCCAGTGGTGGCCGCTTTTAGCTCTGTGGGAGCTCAAAAAGGACGCTCATAATACACCGAGATATTGGTCATTCACATGGAGGTTTTCAGGCCAAATATCCGCCTATTGTCAATTGCCCTTCCTTGAAACGGCGGCAAGGGAGAGAACGGTGGTGTACTTCGAATGTGTACAGGGTGATTTTTTTTACTTGTTAAAAAGTAATGAGGTCTAGTGGGGTTAAAATGCAAATATATCTTGCAAAATTATATGCCAGGATGACGAGCATTCTGGGACATTTTGATTTTATGCAGACACGATGCGAAGAAACGTCCATCGTGTATTTTACTTGTGCTTGAAGTTACCCCCTCTCTCACCGACACGACTCAGCCCGCCTGAGCACGTGTTGAACAGCACCAGGGACTCTCATACTCATTAGGCGGACTGAAAAGGCTCCTATCGCCCATTTTCAGCTCTGCCAGATATTTCCAATGTTTTCTTGTTATATCTGCCATAGCTGGGTCCAAAAACTAGAAGTCTAGGGGGGGCAGGTGGAGGATTTTGATACTGGCGGCCCTGATGGTGTCTGACTCGCTGTTTTTCTTTCTCCCTGAAGACTGATTCTTCAAAAGCTGCTCATACGCCAGATGGACCGTTTGAAGGTTATTTATGACTACAAGCTTGTTCATGCGTTATTTAACGTCTTTCTGAGGCATCTCCTTGATCATCGTATGCTTCGAACTGCCTCAATGCTTCAGAATCATCGTTTTGTGTCGTTCCTTACTGAACGGCGGTGGACCATGCGTGCCCGATTGGTGGGACATTTTCAGGCTCCATTGGGGCCGAGGCCGTCGGTCAAAAGGGACAAATGATGGCACCATACAAAATGTCCCAGATTTATCTATCACGTGCATTGCTTTTTTGCACGCGATTTTTCGATTTAGGGACCACCATTGACGTTAACTTTTTAACAGTTAAAAAAAATCACCCTGTATATCCCTGGACCGTGACATCTTAGGCTCAGAGCTACCGTTGCTCTCATGTCTGACCGACGCTGCCCGCCCGCTGCACGCCCGCCAGGTGTGAGTAAGGACGACATGCCTTCCTCGTCGCCGCTGGACGCGCGGCCCACCAACAAAGAGGAGTTCGACTCGTACCGGTCCGCGCTGGTCGAGAAGCTGCGCTCGCTCGAGTCGTCGCCCTGCTACGCCGGCTTCCTGGAGGACCTGGTCCGGGACCTCTGCTGGAACAGTGAGTTTTACTGAGTTTGGAGAGAGGGACCTCTGCTGGAACGGTGAGCTTTTATTGCTCGGTTTGGAGAGAGAGAGTGGCCTCTGCTGGAATATTGAGTCGCTGGTGCTGAGTTCTGGTGGGACGGGGACGGGCGCTGAGTCAGTGAGATGCTGAGGCAGGGTTGGGAGGGAGAGGAACCTCTGCTTGAATATTGAGTTGTTAATGCTTGAATGCTTGATTTGGATAGATAGGGTCGGGTGACAGTGAGTTGTTGTGGGCCTGGGTTGGGAAGGAGCGCTGAGACAGTGCAAGCTGTTGTGGAGAATGGACCTGGTAGGAGAATGATACACCCATCCTGTCCGGCGCAGTTGGAATAGTTACGCCCTTACTGACGAGAATTCTTAGGCGACAGTTGAGAATGTGCTGTGCAAGCAAATGTTGTGTAGTTAGAGAATTGTGTCATAAAGTTGACAATAATTGTCATCATTGTAATACTTGACCTTTGCACGACATAATTTATTCTACATACAACTAAGGTTGCAAATAGTGCTCAACGTCAGAACCAATTGCTGTAGAATTTTGGCTAGTATTAAAGTCTTATTATTTATGTTGCGTGTACCCAGTTATGTCTGTTGTCTCACCAGTTATCTCTGATGAGCGTTTCGTTGTTAGCTGACTGTGGGTATGCCTACTTTCAGTGGACTCTGATGAGGTGAAGAAGGTTAGTACCGCCCTCAACGCCCTCTACAACGACAAGGTCAAAAGCAAACAGGGCAAGAGTAAAAAGAGCAAGAAGGGAGCGTCACTCAAGGTGGAGGTAAGTTCTACGACTTTCATGGCTGGGAGTGCTGAGGGTGGGTACATTGTGAGTGTAAAAATAGGCGGAAAAGCATTGGTGCATTCACGAGTTATTTGGCATGTGGAACGATTCACCTCCACACAATTTTGCTGTATAAACATACATATCAGTCCATCGAGGGATGCCAGCGGACTGGCCATTGATTGGTTCGATACAACATTAAACTCGAGATTTTGGACGGCGTTTGAGGCCAGAGTTGACTGTTGCTCGACGCTCACATTGCGCCGGTACCCTCTCGGCCGACTACGGTACTTTTAACTCCGTAAATCGCTAACAGATGGCTCTGTCCTTCCAGAAATCGGCGTACGATGACTTCGAAGATTTCATATAGGTCTTATAGTTGAGCGGACGCTGGCCGAGTTGTGTTTGGCCGGACTAATTTAAATATGCTACATAGTGTGGTAAATTGATCACTGAACTGAGGCGGCTGTGTGGTGATGGGCCCTTGGCTGCCGGCCGCGGGCCCGGCCTGCCTGCCCCTGCCTGCCTGTCTGCCGCTGCTCCGTGGACCGTGAGCGGTCGGACGATCCGCATATCGCTGAGATCAAGCTTCAGTCTCGCCTTCCGCTTAGTGCAGCCGCCGGCCGCCCCCGGCGGTCGGCCCGACCAGCCGCGGCGGGCGGCTGACGCGCCTCGAAAACCGACCCCGCTGGATTCATGTAACGACGTCAACGCTCGATTTGTACCGAAGATGCCGCTTATCAGATGGTTACGGGAGATTTTTAATGTTTTCTTTTCCAATAAACTGGAAATGGGCACGTGAGGCGTTTTGTTTTGTGGAAAAGTGGTGTTTTTGGCTAGGTCCAATCAGTGGGAAAACGCGTTTTTTTATCGAATATCACAAAATGATAAATGGTCGCTTGACGGGCAAGTCAGCAAGCGACATGAAATATTATGTTGTAGGTACACCATTTAGTGGTGAATATTGAATTTTTACCGTGAACGTCAAATGATCGATGTTCAGATTAATGTAGACCCCATTTTTCTGATGAGGAGCTGTGATAAGAATTACTTTTAAAGGGACCCTGACTAGAGATGTCAATCGGATACCGAATTTTTGGTATACCGATACCAAACCGATACCAACTTGGTAGTTGGTATTTCAATCCTAATGTGTTTGGTATGTTGTTGGTATTATGAACCCCCACTAATGTATAAGAGGCTAAGAAATCGGTAAGAAGTTGGTATTAATTTCCCTCATGCTCCCAAGTTGGTTTGGTTTCGGTATTTCTCCACGGTTTTGGTTGGTATTTGGTTTGGTATCGGTATTCCGATTTTCCGTAACTGACATCACTAGGACCCTCCCACCTTCAAAAAGTTAATGAATTGGCATAAAAGTGATGTCGCTCGATTCAGAAAGAGCAAAAACGAATATCTACCAAATTTCACTAATAGCTATTCACCGGTTGTCAAGATAACCGGTGTCAAGATTACACGTCAAGAACGCAAAGATTGCACTTTAACTTTTGTTTACTTTTTGGGATCTCCGCTGTTCCTGTGACGTCATTTGGAAGCAATAATTTGGCGGTCTACCGCCTAAAAGTGCAGCAGGTGTTGCACGCAAAACAGCATATAGGTACCACCGCTTTTTACCAATAGTCTTAGCATTTGATTTAAAAATCGTTAGATTTGCACTGACGTCACATTCTAAAGGGGCATTCAAATGCATTAGCCCCTCTGAATCCAAAATGCTGCAACTTTGAAATGAAATATTTTCGATTTAAGGCATTTATCGATGTTAAGAGTGCTCAAACCGGTAATTGCAAGCCAGGGACCCCAATTTGGCTATCTCGACTCAAAACTGCTATCAAAACTAAGGGGGTGACATTGCCACTTTAAAGGGACCCTCCCACCTTAACATTAGTTTTGAGTTGAGATAGCCAAGTTTGCGGCCAGGCTCAGAAACCACCATTTATCCTGGTCGCAACCCCCGCAGCTTTATGGTGTTCAAGAAATTTCTTCCCTTTACTTGCAGGGTGGGACCAGCGTGGTCCCTATCTCTTAACCATTACGGGAATCTGATGACGTCATCAGGCTTTCGAACGTCCGTTAAATGTTTGACTAAAACGTTTTGTAGCACGCGGTGGTATATGCTGCTTTGCGCGCAACAAATGCCGCACTTTCAAATAAAGTCGCTAGGAACAGCGGAGATCCCAAAAAGTAAACAAAAGTAAAAGTCTAATATCTTGAAAACCGGTGAATATTTTTCGATGAAATTTGGTAGATATTCGTTTTTGCTCTTTCTGAACCGAGCGACATCACTTTCATGCCAATTCATTAACTTTTTTGAAGGTGGGAGGGTCCCTTTAACTGTTTGCAGGGGCGACTTGGCAACTGGTAACTCTAGGGATTGTTGCATAGGTGGCACTATTCTAATGCTCTATTGAATAAAACTAAGCGCATCGCTGTTTCCCAGCGAATATTTTGATAAACTAGAACGATTACTTACACTGCCGCTTTTGTTCTCCTTTGTTAGAGGACTTGCTCCCTGAGGACTTGTCTGTCCATCGTCCCGTTCCGCCCTGCCCCTCGCTCCCAGTCCGACCTTCGCTGTAACACAACGTCGCCCTCCGCCAGTCACGCCGCTATTCCGACACTGTTTTACATACGTTTTTAAACACGGTGGGCGTGAAATCGTCCCCATTGAGGTCGGCCGTGCGCTGTGGCCCCCGCGGAGCCATTGGCTGTCACTGACGCGTGCTCCCTGACCCTGGGTGCCCCGCGGCCCGCGGGGGGGGGCAGAGGTCACGCTTGGGTGACCCCCAAAGGCGGCGGCGCGGCGGCCCGCGTGGTAACATGCAATGTCTGGTAGGTCGGGGGTTTGTGTCCGAACTATGTTGAGGGGTGATATCACGACCGGCCGGTGGTGACCCGGCGCTGTGACCCGGTCGGCGAGGTAACGGCTCTCCCTAGCCAGTCGTGCTCAGCACTAAAAGGTAGAAACTGACCGGAATCGAACACGGAACTGGGCCGGTGAAACGCCGCGTCCAGTCATGCAGTCACTGAAGGCTGCTGTCTAAATGATAGAAGTATATTATTTTAAAGTACCGTGCAGATCTTCTGAAAGTGTATGTACATATCGAGCACGATGATTTTAAGGTCCCCTAAGCACATGAAAATTACAGTCATCAACCCTTGCCCCATAAGAGGCGCCTTGGGGCTGTGCCTGTCGCAGGGAAGGGGACGTTCCAGTAATCCAAACCGCTCAAGGATATCATCTGATGGTCAAAATTCCAGCATGGTTGGTTAAATCCTGTTCAGTAGGTAACGAGCTAGTCTGCATTCAGGTCATTAGTGATTGAGCGGGACAGGTCAATCACAAAATGCTTCCTGTGCTGGAAATGTTTGAATGACTAGGTATATTGGTATATTGGTATATTAGGTATATTGAATGACTAGGCAAAGCCGCAAATGAACTACCTAAGACTAACGAGGTGACGTGGTCTTGATCAAGATTACTTCACTTATAGTCCTGATGCCTTCAAATGTCCTCTGAAGCTGCAGTTGTAACTAGCCATGGATAAAGGAGGTCAACCAAGGCCCTGACTTCGGGAAAGTGCTTCCAACATCAGCAAGTTTCGAGGCTGCCGTCCCCATTGGCAATCATGGAGAACACTTTATACTTAGCACATGTGTCTGTCTCTGTCTATCTGTCTCTTTCTGTCTGTCTGTCTCTGTCTCTCTGCCTAACTGTCTGTCTGTCACGTTCTCAGCTACCGGAGCGGTGATAATGACCGCCCTGCTCTCTCTCCTGTAGCTCCCGTCTCTGCCGCCACCGATGGCATCTCATGTTTTCCATTACAGGCGGCCGGCAAATGACAGGGCGACGCCATTATCGCCCGGCCGGCCTCTGTATTTCGCCGCAATTTGGCCGCCGTTTAATTCGGCCGCCTTTTTGCTTTTAAACTGTTATCTTCGTCATTGTTGTACGCGCTGTGAACGGCCGGCTGGCTGGTCGGAATCAGTCCGGCGGCGCGGACGAATTTAATTGACACACCGTCTCACCTCTGCCGGGAAAGAAGAATGCCTGATCAACTCTATTATGGCCCCATTAGCCGGTCGGCCGGCTATGAGAGCTAATTACGCCGCCGCCCGCCGCGGCCGGCGCCGAGACCAGATGCCGGCACAGCGCGGGCCCGCAGCACGAGCCGTCAGATGGCCGCGCGGCGAGCTGCACACTTTTCACACGAGCCGCCGCCAAATGGAGGACGGCGGCAGCTGTTGTTTCGAAAGTTTCAAAGGTTTAGCGTCGACTAACACAATTTGTGCCGACTGGGGAGCGCGGCCGTCAGAACTCGCGGGCTCGGCGCTCCCGGGAGCGGCGGCTGAGAGGCTGCTATTGTCGGAATGCCGAGCAGGCCGTAATGGCCACAACTTTGCACCGTCCACACTGCCTGGGCCGAGCGCTGCCAGTCAGAATTGGTTGATGGTGCTCTCAAACTCCATGGACGGCCTTTTGCAGTCAAATGTAGCGTGAGGAAACACTGCAAGCAAACGGAGCAGGGCTCCGACGTTGCGAGGTTATAACCGGCAGTCAGTAGAGAATGGTTTAGAACTTCAGATGAATCCATCTTGCTCACCTTCACAGTTCACACCTTGGCAAAATAAAAATGAATAACAAGCAAATTAGGCTTTCAGTTATGAAGCGGCCTCGGCGCAAGCTCGTCAGTTAACACTGATGTCAGTATCACACACTTTTCAAAAGCCAAAGTTGCTCGTCAACAAAATAAATGTTGCTTTTTAGACATAGGGCTGACAAGTGATCAAGGCATATGGTCAAGTATCGTTAGTCATGAGCTGTGAATCAAAAGCCCTTTTACGCTCTTTGAGCGCCAATGTGAACAGGACATAGTAACGTTGGTCATCAGAGGTCAAAGTCATTTCCTTGATAAGAAACGCTACCAAAAATCACATTTCAATTTTCAAATGTGTCTCGGTCGCTTTGACACAACATATTGTTTTGACAACATATTTTCGGAGGGCTCAGCAGTTTCTGTTTGGCTGTGAATTGAATAAGCATTTCAGCAGCTGTGGCTTATTTTTCCGACTACGCTTAGTAACGTGATGTGGCCAAACAAGTGTTCATCACGCCAATTTCCGTATCACCAAACTTGCAAGTTGCAAAATATACCTAAATAACTTTTGTTAGAATGAATAATAAAGAAGTTGTTAGAATGAATGAATTTATGAATTATTGAATGAACTTAAATTGAATGAATTTTATTTATTTATTTATGAATGAATGAATGAATGAAATGAGTTGTTAGAATGTTCGGTCGTAACGTCACATAAGCGTGGGAACCATGGGTGCAAGGGTGCAGCTGCACCCACAATATTTCTCCAGTGGGTGCAGACAATGTATTCTGCACCCACAATAATCTGAACCAAAATTTTCTCATCAACACTATACTTTCCATGCAGCACGGCAAATTCAGGATATGTTGCCCACTATCCATCTTTCGAAGCATTTGCTTTTGTGATGGTCTTCAAAACTTAAATTTGTGCTGAAGAAAAAAGGAAATGGAGCATGTGATTGAACACATACCGAGCCGATGACCCACTGTCAAAATTTTTAGCCCGATATCTTCGAAAATGGCTAAGTTGGCCGCTTTCACTTTTTGCGGTAGGGGCGTTCCACGACAAATCGACAAATAAAAAATTAAATTTGCACCCTCATATTTTATTCTTCGTTGAAAACTGGTGTAAGGGGTTGTGATGGGCGGGGAAGCCAGCTGTGGAAAGGATTTTTTTTCTTCGATCAAC